CGAAAAATCACCCCCCAGAGGGGATGGTCACGCCGCAATCCCTTCTCCTCCATTCTCCTCTCAGGATCTTGGGCACGCACGCACACACGCCCGGCGTGAGTTTTAAGCCACCAGGTCCGGGACGCGAACCGTCGTCGACTACGTGGGAGTCCAGCGACACAGCCATTACACTAACTGCTGGTTCCCTCACTGAGCACTTTTCACTAGAAGCTGCAGAGACAGGACAACCAGGTCGCTGTCCACACCCACACCCCACTGGCACCAACCCTACCTACATCACCAGCCTCCCTCGAGCTCCTCCCAAGGAGGCAGAGAGGCAGGGAGGCTGACTAGCTCCTGGACTGCCCATCTTGGGATTCTCAAAGACTCCTCAACTACCTTTGCCTCCTCGTGCCTCAGTTTCTTCACCTATAAAACAGGAATGTTAATTCTCTGAGCTGTTGGGAGGCGCCCAGGAATTAATTCCTGCATAGGACTCAGCCCAGTCCCTGGCACATAAGTTCTCAGTTTGAGAGGTGTTACCACTTTTGTTGTCTAACAACCTAACAAGGAACTTGCCCTCTTGCACGGGCCAGAGTCACAGATGTCCCGAGAACCAATGACCCAAACACACACCACACAGGATGGGAATCCTGGGGGCCATGACCCGGTGCCTGCCTCCCACTAGAAGGGAGCTCCATCCATCAGGGGCTTCATCTCCTGCCCATGACCTGCCTCAGCTCAGCCATCTGGTGGGACTTCCTGGGCCAGCCTTATGAGTTAGGAAATAGGGACAGAGAGGAGGCAGGGTCCTCTCATTCTCAAACAGGTCAGTGGCTTCTGCCTCCACAAAATCCTTCCAATAAATTCCCTTTTGTGCACTTAAAACAAGGGATCATTTTCTGTTGCTTGCAACCACAGAGCCTGGCTGCAACATGCACCCTCTCTGTGGCAGACACTGCTCCAAGAAGGATTTCATTGAACTCTTATAACAATAGACAGGACTCATAACTGAACTCATCTTGCCGATGAGAAGACTGAGGCCTACAGAGGTTGCTTACCTTAGCCAAAGTCACACAACTAGTGAGTGGTGGGGCCAGAATTCAAATCCAAGCCACAGAAATTCCTCTCTACTCACCACTAGGCACCTTATAAGCACTGCCTCAATTATGATCAGCAGCCCAATTTTACAGCTAAGAAACCAAGGCCGGGAGACGGCAGAGGGTGAATGGAACCCAGATTGCCCTGGGAAGAGGTGCTTGGAGGCTGGAGCTGGTGAGGTCAGCCCATGAGGTCACAATGTGGCCTCTTCAGGGCAGGGCGGGGCCAGGACTCTCAGCCAGAGGACAGGCCAGAGCAGCATGGACTGTGGCCCTTAGTGGTGACCAGTACTGCCATGGGAAACAGCAGTTCCCACAAGAGGACCAAAGCGTCCAAGCAGGCTGGCAAGGAGAGGCCACGTGACATGGACGAGGCCCGCTGGAAAGAGCTCTGCAGCAGATTCCCACAGAAGAAGCCCAGCGTGAGTGCCAGGGTCAGCAGGACGTGGTCAGGGGAGATGGAACGGTAGAGCGGGAAGGGATGCTAGGAGTGTCTGCCTTGTGGACAGAAGTCCCAGGGATACAAAAGGTTAGAGAATCCCTCCAGAGGATGAGGGTTCCCGGGGCTCACATGACTGTAGATATTGCAGAAACCAGAAAAAGGGTGACACCTGGGAGGCTAGGAGTGTGGGCAGGAGGAGGTCCCCCTCCACCCATGCTGCACAAATCGGTGGAGGTCCTGGCATGGGGGCCGACCCTAGGTGGTGCCACTGGGCCAATGGGAATGAGGAATTCCCTCATGCCATTTCTCCAGACCCCACCCTCAAAACATGCTGCTCTGCCCCTCTTCAAATGGGCAGAGGACCTGGACCAGGCTGGGTGGGTGAAGGCCCCTGGCATCAAAGCTGGGAGGGTAATGGGATGGAGGGGACTCAGGAGGTCAGCCCAGGGTGAGTGAGAGTTTTCAAAGGGGAGGCTGCTGTCCCAGGCAAGCGGGCAGGGTGGGTGAGAGTCCCTGGTCACAAGTCGGGAAGGATGTGCTTAAATGGACCCTGGTGCATGGGAGGATGACAGGAGTACGGGAAGCGAAGAGGGGCAGAGACCTGAGGGACTAGACCCGCGAGGGTGACAGTCCCCGGGAGGAGGGCGGGGCGGTTCTGGCTCATGTCGTGCTCTTCCCCTCACTCCCCTGTCCCACTCCCAGACCAAGGTCGTGCTGCTTTTTACCCCGGACAAGCGGCGGCACCGGGCCGAGGAGGCGGTGGGCCTGGGCGTACCACCTAGGCGTCCAGGTGAGGACGCATCGGGCGCCCAGGAAGGCACCCCGACGGCGGCGCCCATGCTGCGTGGAGCGGGCGACGGCGCCGAGCAGCACGATAGCTTGGGAGAGAGAGACATAAAGAAGATTCTGGTCCGGCTGCTGCTGCAGAACCCGCGGCTGCACGAGGTGGGGCGCCACGCGG